GATAAGCGGAAAAATTACTTGTCAGGCAAGATCGTCGATCGACTCGTATTCCGCTCCTAATCGCAACAGCCGCTGCTATGCCAGAGATGCAAGCAACTTTCGTGCATGTTCTAGGCGGTCTCAAGTTAGGACGATTGCTTGGCCATGAAGAAACGGAAGCTTACTGCAAACGTCCAGGCCCCCGCATATAGTGTGTTCTTTGTCCCGTTGATATATCTCAAGTACGGAAGTACCCGGACATAATGTTTCCAACCCTGTGACGGCTGGTGTATCCATCTTCTCTCGAGCACCGCTTTGTCGTTTATTTGATCAATGGTCCAAAGATCTTTGAATTTTTCACCCATAAACCGGCTTTGGAATACATGGCGGTCAAGTGGAAGCGGTGCCTTGCCGGAACATGGCTCTGGCAGGAACTGATACTGGAAATTTGAGAAGTCGTACGAAAGTTCATTCTTGTTCGGCCTTGACTGATACGAGTAGGTACAGTACGATGGGCGGAAGCCGGAATGGATCCCCGCCTCTCCCTTTGCAAACCTGATTTGCTCTTCCTGTGCTTTTGTGACGGGCTTACCGCAAAGACTTTCCTTGAATCTGGGCTCGTACCTGCTCTCGAAATAGTGATGGTCGCAGTGGGTGATCGTGATATCATCAAAGTACTTTACCCCGCTGAGGATTGCTTTTTCCTTCCATGTGGCTGTTTCTCCAAGAAGCCGCCTTGCTTCGTCACCTGGTACACAGAGGACAAGTTTATCGAACGCTTCGGTCACGCTTCGGTCGTGATATCGTTCCTCGGTGAGCCTGGCGTCTTCATCCATGTGCCGAGTTTCCACAATGATACCACGTTCATTTCGTTGTATGATATTGATAGCCTGCGTATTGAGGCGGATGGTAACACCCTTTGCCCGAAGGCCGGCAGCCCAATCCATATAAAAGCGAGCCATATTGGGGAAAGCGAACATTGGCGGTCGTGGGGGCATAAATCCGACAGGATCAAAATCCCATATCTTCAGCTCTGGATCGTCGAATAGGACCTGAAGAACACCACACGGGACATCCTCCGCTTCGTTTCCTATCCCCATTAATACTGAGGCGAGTGGATACACTATCCTCTGAGCGAACTCTTTGCTGATGCCAAACAGCCGAAAGAACCTTTTCAGCGGTATTACCCAGAGTGGGAAACGGAAGCGACGGACTGTTCTCAAAGCTTTCCCAAATTTCTTGATGTCATGTTGATGCTTCTGTAAGAGTGGGCTTGGGAACATGTTCGTCCAAAACCCTTCCACGCCTTTTCCAAAAGAAAGCTGGATCCTTATCTCCTTGGGTTCATAGCCGTATTCCCGGAAAAAATTATAAGTATGCCGGAACAAATTGGTTCCCCCTTGAGTGCCCTGATTGACCCAGTCTGCTCCGTGTTTCTCCCCATCGATAGCAAGAGACATAGCCTGGCCGCCAGCCGATGAGCTTTTCTCCAAAACAGTGACATCGAATTTCTCGTGCGCTTTCGCCAATGTCGCGGCGCATGCCTAGACAAATTCGGTCATTCTCCTTCTTTCGGAGACGGAAAAGCCAAGGAGTCCAATTGTTCACAAGGATGGGTGGCCGCTGAGCAAAGGGATACTTAGCATCCGTACCATTCCTGCTGCGCCGGCACCAATGATTAAAACCTTTTGCTTGCGTGGCTCAGATTTCGCGTTCCAACCCATGCTTAGACTACCCCGAGCCATGGTTAATCAGTCGTTGAATTGTGGAGCGGCCAAATTCACCTGCAGTCATATAGAGTGGGAAGAATTGGGAGGTGATTTCCTTTTTCAACATTGCTGCTTGTAAGGTCGATTGAAGTGGCCGACATCAACCAGCCCGCGGACTAAGCACAGCTCTAATTGTGGGATATGCTTTTCCGCATCCTCTCTCCTACATCCCATAGTTCTGCTGTGGTGGCTCCCGGTCCGCGATTGACCTAATGGCGAGCAATGACGTGCTCGAGTTGTCACTTTGTCATATCTTAGTCAGCATATCACATGACTGGCTTACCGTCCACGTAATCGGAAAAACAATACCCCGTGTCATAAACTCAATTTCGCCGCTGCTCCCAACACGGAAACCGCCACGACAATCCATCCGGCCACACGAAGCCACTCGCTCTGCAACTCCTCGGAACTGGCTCGACTGTTTTCCAACTCGACTACGCCAGGAAACGCAATGTTGTCGTGTTTGGCATAACGTGAACTGCGTCTTTACGGGGTTAGGTAGCACACGGTTTCTCGACACCCGAGTCATGGCCGGACCGTCCCGAGATGGACCAACAATCTATCTGCTATGTCATCCATACGGCCCGTCGGGCTGCACCGCATTGACATACATCCATGCATGGAGAATCATGGAGATCTTCCGGTCGATCCTTTTAGTCACGCTTAACGATGGCCCATTTGTAACCACGAGAGACTTGCCCCAGACAGGAGTGGAATCCGTTTGCTACATATCCAAACTGGTCTGTCATACATCAACGCCAGGTATCACAGCAGTTTTTCTGGTTCCTAACAAGATGCTTCACATCAGAACATTACCATGTAGTAGTAATGGTTCGAATTGCTGACTGTAGCATGAGAGGGTGGGTCGATCCAGCGCAGCTGAAGGCCATGTTTGTGGATTTCAAATTCCATTCCAGTCCATGAAACCTCACTCATGATGCAAATGGCTGTGATGATCTTTCGCAGTGCGGGGGAAAGGGTCTCGAATTGATTTGCATCGACGGAGAAGGATTGCATATAAAAAGCTCACCCTCTTCTCGTTTTGTCAGTCTCTATTAGCAACCAGAACCATCAGGTTTTACTTGAAAACATATCTCAATCGATACTTATATTCCGAGTTCTTTGCCCGCTTCCCAGCCGCAAATATGCAATTGACCAAGGTCTTTTTTGCCGTCGCCCTTGTGGTCGCTTCCGCCTACGCCGCCGAACCAGCGGCTGCTGACGCCTTCGAGGCTGAAGCCATTGCTGTTCGAGACGAGAATGTTGATGCTGTTGAGCCTGAAACTGAAGAACAACGCCGCTGCCTAAGAGTTTGCTGGCGTAGGCCCCGTAGATGCCCTAGGGGATGGGTGCGTTTTTAATACTACAATATATCAGCATATATCCAACTTGTCCACGCGAAATCGCTAATACTTATCACACCCAACAGCATCCTCAGAGATTCGTAAGTGCTTTAGAACCGCGACCTGTTCTTCCCCTTGCTGCAAAGCACCCTTTGCGAGCCACTACCGTCGAGAGGCAACCCATCCCTTCCAGGCCCGAGTAGGCCATCTAGGAGCTCTAGAATTTAGCAAACATACTAATAGAGTTATGATAATCTTTAGCGTCAATGCTGGACTTGCTGCCGTCGCTAGGGCGAAGCCGAAACCGCTCAGCGAAGAGAAGGAGTCCGTGCACAGCGCCTTGTTAGCAAATGGAAGCCTCTTTTCGGCTGAGATTGACAGACCCGTCTGGAAACTGATGACACGAGTTGCATGTGTTGGAGCCGAGCAGTCTCTCTTTGGCAACAGGTTTGAAGTTGCAGTGGTTATTCGGTCGTTTATCATCCTGTTGTCTATGCTCAGTATTGAGATCACGTTTAGGAATTTGAACACGCCAGCCTTGGACTTACAAGGTCAATTTGACAAAGTAACTATACTTCAATGACCTCGTCTCATTTCCATTGTTACCGCTTGTCTCCGCAGTGCCTAGAATCTATGATATTAATTGAGAACAACAGTGTCGCGTTGGCCCCTACTCCTCTAGAACGCCCCTTTTGTGGAACGCATACTTCCTGTGGTGTCTTCCTGGATGTTTCAGCTGGGGGCATGAATGTCTCCGATGAATGGAATCAGTTACTCCCTGGTTACAATTTCACGCAGGCGGAGGAGTTGCTGGCTGGGGCGTGATGTGGAAAGCCGTCGGAGGACGGAGTACTCTGTAGACATTCAATAATAGGAGGTGCTGAGTCATGCCGGTTTCATTAGTCAGCGTAGCCCCTGTCAGCTCTAGAGCTCCCGTCCATATCGAAATTCAAACCTCATCCCCAACAACTTCGCCCTCGCCATGTCTCCCTATGCATTATTTCCTTTGGTTCTTCATACACATGGTATGGCGCACCCTAGCGTGGCTCGATCCCCCGATTACCAGCCTGAGCCCAAGAAGAGGAAGGTCCGTAAAGGCACCCAAAGCTGCTGGGAATGTAAGCGCCGCAAGGTTCGGTGTACATTTGTAGCACCTTTGGATGCTATTTGCGAAGGCTGCAGACGCCGTGGGACCACGTGTGTTAGCCAGGAGCTCCCGGAAGAGCCCTCAGGCACTCGACGGCTTGAAGACAGACTGGGTCGGGTTGAAGCGATGCTCGAGCAGTTGGCGAAAGAGACCAACCTTCATACCCAGCCCTCGAGTGCTTCATCGACTACTTTGAAAGTACGACACGCAAATACCAATAGGGATACTCTCCATGTAATGGTAGCAGCAATTTGTAACGCCCCTCCAGAAAAGGGTCCCAAGTTGCACGACTTATACAGCCAGTTCATCGCAGCATGGGCCATGCCAGAGCGATCTTAGTGCTATCCTGGACATTCCCGCCAGTATTACATGGCTATTTGAAAACCCCACTACGCCATTTTCTAATACCCGCGACTCAGACGCTCTGTCTCCACGAGACATATTACAACTACCCCCACCAGGATCTCACCCAGTCCTAATTGCGCGGAAGCTGTTACTGCTAGGCATGTTCCTCCAGGGAATTCGGCCATTTTCTCATTGTACCAGAGGCCTGAGTCTCAGCTATCGCGATTCCATCATGTCTCGCGTTGCTCTTCCAGTATTTGGAGATAACGTTTTGTTTCCTCGCCCTTAACTGATAAATTTTATCATCTAGTAAATAACCATTTAATCGCACTCTTTCAACGGCTGTCCACGGCCATGTTGGCTATTTTCTGTGCCAGTGCTCTGACCACCTAACTCCCACATGCTCCTCGACGGATCGAGTGAGCATATAGACGGGAAGAGGGAAGCTTGGAGTAGGGGGCGGAGTGGAATGGTTCTGTAGAGCGGAGAATGAAGAGCTCAACTGCCTTTGGCTCATGTCGCAGCAGGTCCGATCTGCGTTTCAAAACGGCCATACCAATATGGTTTCGAATTCGGTTGGTAATATTCTTAGTGCAATTGATAATGCAATGTACTGAAATGCCTTTTCTTCATTTGCAGTGGAGAGCTAGAAAACAAACTACTGGCAACTTTTCAGTTCCTAGGTTTCTATCAATGCTTATACTACGATTTACGCTATACATCTAACATCAAACCAGGCGATGCCCCTCTTCCAGACAGCCTTTTACTGGAAATTCACAGAGTCATTTCAGGTTCTTTGTATTGCATGACAATCAAAAGGCAAATCAATAATGACTGGCGCCCAGTTGTTGAATATCAGGAAATTCTCTCAAGGCTACGCCTTTTAACTCATCCTTGAGATTTTGATATCCGGATTCCGCATGATTTGAGTTCTATTCGGCCTCTGCCTCAAACTTGGCTATCGAGTCTCAAAAGACGGAGCAAATGCTCTGCTCCTAATCGAAAAGCATACATCTATACCAGAACCTCGACTCATAGCTTTTGCCTAGGAAAGTGAGAATAACGGGTATCTTCTCATGACGCGGGTACCGGAGGTTCCAATGGACTCTGTCCTTTATGGGATGACTTCGCAAGAACGTGATCAAGTCGTGCAGGATCTTGGCCAGTACGTCTCCCAATACCAGAACATTCCGAATAACCATAAACACTTTATTTGTGATACTCTCGGAGGCCCAACTGTGGGCCATTTGCACGGGTACAGCGACGCCATGTGGCCCCCTTGACACCAAAGACCAATCCTCCGTTTTACTTACTGAGAAGCTCATCCATCTGCGGAGTAACCGCCAATGTCAGTTTTGTACAAGAAGAAGCATGATATCTGCTTTACGCTCCGACTTGCATCTTTCTAACATATTTGTTAAAGGCGGACGGCTATGCGGCCTGGTTGACTGGTAAAACGCCTGCTTCAAGCCGGAGTATGGGATTATATTAGAGCTTTATGGGCGTTTGAAAGGAATGGCCCACTCGAAAGGGATTCAGCCTTGCCTTTGATAAAATATATATAGTTGAGTTGGAAGCGGAGCGGCTTATTTAACAGACGGATCCTATTTTCTTGTATATTTCGCTGATGATACTCTCCTTGTTGAAACTTGGGGTAATACAAGTGGCCTTGCTTCATTGCCATCGGGTGCTGTGGGATTCAATGTGTATAGGATACTTCTGCTATTTTTGCAGCAACCACTCGAACTACATCCGTAGTCATGGAAAGGCTTTTGTCCACAATAATATAGAGCCTCTTTCACCGTCTGCAAAGCATTTAAACATGCGAAACTAGGAAAAGGATATTGCCGCTCGGTCGGAGAGTAACTGACCGGCTAAGTGCCATACAACAGTAGCGGGCAAATCGAGATAAATGACCGTGTCCGAAATGATTCAATGGCCGTATCTATTTCCCCTGGAACTGATGGAGAGAAAAGACGGTCCGGGGTCGTTGACAACAGTAAACATCACATGACCGTCGCGTCTCTTTCAACGCAACATGTTGAAACTCGACAACATCATACCATTCTCAACAGACAGAAAAACAGCTCCAAATTCGCGTGCAGCTTTCAATTTATCCATATACTACACTCGTTTCTATTCGTTGCAGACCCGAAGCTCCCTGGGGCGACATCCAAGGGTCCACGATGGTTGATTCCAGTGATGAAGATGATGCAGCTTTGCAAGCTGCTTTAGCTGCCTCTTTGCGGGATCTCACAGCATCAAGCACCAGCCTTTCCCCCAAAGGGCCAGAATTTATTGATCTCACAGCCGATTCGGATAGTAGCCCTCCCACCACTGCCCGCAATGCACCCGTGCCAGAAAGCCCCGATGATGATGGTGATGATGATGATGATGATGATGATGATGCAGAGTTGCGAGCGGCTATCGCCCTATCATTACAGGGAGAGCCTTCTGTGTTAAACCCTCGCCATCATCTAGAGGAAGATATTCAACCCCAGCATCCTGTTATGGCCAAGAACAACGCCAATACTTTCAATCTTCTTGGGATTGATCGTAAAAAGCTAGAAGAAGAAAGGCTGTCTAGGGTGGCAAAGAAGAGAAAAGCAGAAGAAGCTAGCTCGGCCCAACCGTCCAAATTGCAAGTCAAAAAGGATGGCCAGGCACCAAATGATCCCAGTGCAGGGTCTAGCAAGGAGTCCTATGACGCCGCCCTCAATACGCTGCCACCAGCAGCCTCCTCCACTTTCCGGTTCCCTCAGGGAGCAGTGAGGAAAACCTGGGCTCTTGGCCGTCGACGGGAGAACGACATCAAATTCCAAGAGGTAATTCAGCCAGAAGGTTTAGAACTTGCAGTACTTAGCTCGTTCCAATGGAATATGGATTGGATGTTCACAAAATTCGATGTTAAGAAAACCAGATTCCTCCTAATTATGGGGGTTAAATCGGACGAAACGGTAAATATGTGCTATTAGATCCTTGAAATCTCCTTTGCTGACTACTTGGCCTCAGAAGAAAGCGTTTCAGCAGGACTTTGCAGATATTCCCAGTGTGCGCCTGTGTTTTGTTCCGATGGAGCCGCACGTTAATATTATGCATTCGAAATTGATGCTCCTATTCTACCCTACCCGTCTTCGTATCGTTGTGCCAAGTGCAAACCTAGTACCTCACGACTGGGGGGAAGAAGGCGGTTACATGGAAAATGCAAGACCGGAAGGAATGCTCTTTTGTCTTTTTGATTCCGCTAACCGTGCATGCAGGTGCTGTTCCTTATCGATCTCCCAGTCGTTGGCGGCGAGCCGCAAACACCAACGCAATTTTTCAATGACCTAGTCTCTTTCCTCAAAGCGTCAACGGTTCATGATAGAGTTATTGCAAGGCTTTCATATTATGATTTCACCGCAACAGCTAAGTTTGCATTTGTCCACACGATGTAAGGCCAGCATCGTATTGTCTTGTTCTGCTTAGACTAACACTATGTAGAGGTGGCTCCCACATGGGAACAGCTCGTAGTCAAACGGGACATTGTGGGTTAGGAACTGCGGTCACTAAACTGGGGCTAAGTACTTCGAAGCCCCTTAAGTTGGATTATATTGTACGTGGCTGTACAATCCATGGATTTTACTACTTTCTAATGCGTTAGCAGACATCATCTTTGGGCTCGTTAAACGACCAATTTATGCGAAGCATGTATTTTGCAGCCCAGGGTAAACCATAAGATTGCTCCTTTTGAGGTTTCGTTGTATCTCGGCTGACTCGGACTCTAGGGGACGATGGACTCAAAGAACTCACACTTCGTACCTCCAAGACTTTCCCGTGCCAGAAATGGGGTGTTACCGTTAAGAAGACGGATGGTGCGGAGTGGAAAAACAATTTCCTTGTCTACTTTCCATCTCTAAAAACAGTGAAGGATTCTTTAGCGGGCACAATGGGCGCTGGGACGATTTGTTTTCATTCTAAATGGTATAACCGGTCCGACTTTCCTCGCAATGCGATGAGAGACAATATCAACCGCCGCAAAGGATTGTTGATGCACAGCAAAGTATGTATTACCCAGAGTTATAGCGCGCCTCCTTATTGATTGGGGAAATTTCAGATTCTCTTCGTGCGACCAGAGGACGGTAAAATCATCGACGACGCAAACAAGACCGCATATCGTGGCTGGGCATACATCGGAAGTGCGAATTTGTCAGAGAGCGCTTGGTAAGTCCGCCCTTCTCTTGACGAAGCGCACCGTATAATCACAAAGACTAATGTTTAATACAACCAGGGGCCGTCTTGTCCTAGATCGATCAACTACCCAACCGAAACTCAATTGCAAGAACTGGGAATGCGGCGTCATAGTACCGATTGCAGACCGCGGACCAAGTGCAACAGAGGATAGAGGTAACGACGTGGACCGGGTGTTCGCAGGCTCTGTGCCTGTCCCGATGGAATTCCCTGCGCCAGAATATGGGCCAGACACGAAACCGTGGTATTTCCTTGAAGATGATTAGGCTTTATTTTTGCGCCCGAAATCGATACTGAGCCTCTGGACTGGTGTTGGCCTTCAGCTTGGTTTGTATGATAAGATATGGTTCATGGCCGATTAGGTCTTTCATTCATCATGACGACGACGAGGTAGGAGCACATGGGTAGTTATAGATGGGAACAGTAACACAATAACTACTTTCAGATCATTCGCCTTTGTCCCAAAATGGACGAACAAGATTTTCTGGGGATATCATAAATCCAGGCGCAATTTACAGCATCAAAAACCCAATTACTCTTCGTGCTTATTCCTGCCAATCGCCCAGATTAGAATGTCCCAGACAGTAGTGAAGCCCAGAAGCCATCGATCTGAGATGAAACCATTATCATGGCGAACAGTGGGATAAAGGCAAGAATCAAAAGTATTGGCATGCGTATCACACGGTGAATAGAATCGTTGCAGTATAGGATGCGAGACGGACGGAGACTGCAGGCGAGAAGGAGAATACTAATGGACGCCAATTAGTTTAATGCACGAGTTAGGCGAGAGTTGAGGGCCACAGCCGGGATTGAATGGCATCATCTCACGCCATGTCTACAGTGTCAACTGGGGTGCAGAGAG